CCCCGGCGGCGATCTGGTCGCGGAGGGCGCGGGCGAGGTCGGCGGCGTCGTCGCGGGTGGTGGCGGAGATGGCGACGCCGTCGGGGTCCCGCCACGAGGCCTTGCGCCGGGACCCCTCGTGCTTGATCAGGATGTGCGACGCCCGCATCGTCTCCCTCTTCCCCTTGCCCCCGTCCCCGGGGCGCCCCGGCTTCTGCTGCTGCCGCTGCGGCTGGTGGGGGTTGCGGTCCCGGGAGCCGGAGGAGGGGTGCTCCGCGCGGCGGCGCTTGCTGTCGGCGCCCGCGGCCGCGTCCTGCCCGCCCGGCCGCTTCCGGGCCGCGTCGCCGTCTCCGGCGGCCGCGGCCGGGGCGGGGGCGGGGGCGTCGGTCCCTATCTTGGCGTCGCGGCGGGCCACTGCGGCAGAAGGAGAGCGGAGACGCTTGGGTGGGTCGGGGGTTTGGATTTCGGTTCCCGTTTCTGAAGCTCTTCTTGGTCTGTCGTGTCGTCAGGGTCGCCGTGCCCATTATTATAGCATAGCAGGAGGAGGCTTGACCTCAACCTCAACCTTAAACTGTCTGCCCGACCAATTTTGGGAACAAAAACATTCTACTTTGCTGCATTTTTATACTGACGAAAACGACACATGAGGCGACAACAGAGAATGTAGCTCCAGATCCAGATCCAGGTACGCGAAAAAAGCCCTATCTGCATAGCATTTGTGTACATATATATAGGGTTATGCAACAGAGCAACTGACATAGAGAGTGCAGTGAGTGATGCTGAGCAGGGCACCCACCATTGCCAACAAAGATCCACACCTGTCAAACTACTCCCTCCGTTCCTAAATATTTATCTTTTTAGAGATTTCAAATAGACTACCACATACGGATGTATATAAACATATTTTAGAGTGTAGATTCACTCATTTTTCTCCGTATGTAGTCCCTCGCTGAAATCTCTAGAAAGACAAATATTTAGGAAAGGAGGGAGTAGTTGTAAATGAATCTACAATTGACAACCCAAATCCTAACATTTACACTGGTGTTGAGACATCAGGCTCTCTCTATAATGCGCATCATCACAAACAAGCACTGGAAGTAGCAATCGCACAGCAAACTGCCTGGGGGTTCTTCAGCATTTGGGAAAGATGATGATAACACCACACAAAACGCTGGTAAATCTAAATCCCCTACCAAAATACACTGTCAAAAAATCAGCCTACAATTAACTAAGGAAGGCACTACTGTGTTCAGAACAGCAATCTAGCTTAATCTTGCTCTCTGCTTTATTTTGATTTTCCAGACGCATCCTGATCAGTGAGTTGGCCTACTGGTCTGCTTGGATGCAGTCGTTCAAGACTTGCATGCCGTTCTCGCTCATCTGCTGTACTTCTGAAGGCGATAGGATCCGGATGCATCGCACGCAGTTGATGAATTCCCTGCCAAGATTCAGAGGAGCACAATACGGTCAGTGAGTGAGTGAGTGAGTGAAGAATTCCTAAGAACTGTACTCACTCTGTAAAGAAATATAGAAGTGTTTAGATTACTATTTTAGTGATCAAAACACTCTTATATTTCTTTACGGAGGGAGTACTACATTAGGACATGGATTAACCCAAGGGATGTGTTATGCTGGATTTTGTCAAGAAACAGAGCTGCAGATACTTACTCCCATGGATCGTCGCCAACAAGAAGCACATCGTTTTCGTAGTCGACGTACACTAGCTTCCAGTCTGAACTTGCAGGGTGCTCGAGCTTCCCCTGGAGCCCAAACATGGATGCGATGGCTGATCTCAGCTCACGGTAATCTCTATACCGCGTGACATCGATAGATCTTCCAACAGATCCTAGCTTTTGAACCTGCTTGTCATGGATCAGAAGATAACATTAGCATAAGCAAAAGCTTGAAGTTACAATCTCATTATCAGAGAAGTTTCAGCAAATGCTGCCTACTTGGAAGTGTTGTAGTACCATACCTTTGTGTATGTCCGCACCGGTGGTTTCAACGGCTTTGCGCTTCGGTCAATGCTGTACTCTGCTGCATCCATGCTGCATGATGATGTGCCCCTGGAACTGTTATGGATCTCTGGCAGAGACAAAACCTGAGACTCCTTCAAACTTGGCAACTTCGAGTACATTCCCAGATTAAAGCCCTCGGTAGTCTGTGGTTGAGAGCAAGAAGAGATGTTATTCATTCCTCTTTGAATGGATTCCATGTGACTTCCACTATCATCTTCAGAGAAGCTCATTTGTACATATGAGTTGGATGTGCTCGGTACGTTGCTTCCGTCGTGGTGGACATCCAGATTTTGCATCTCAGGTGACAGAAATGTTAGTGAATGCAGATCCGGGCTGCCGATGAAGTCTTGTATGGAATTGGGGAAGCAGTCTGAGAGGCAAGAATTCTGAAAAGTCTCCAGAGTATCAGTATTTATTGTGGAACCTATATTAGCAGATGGACTGAAGATGTTCTCTGATGCACTAACTGACTGAATCCCATTGGAGTCTTGGTAATAGGGAGGCTGAACCATCCAATCCAGACCATCGAAGAACTGCGAAAAAGACGCCTGGTTGGGAAATGAGTTAACTGACTTCCCTCCATCAGGTGATATTGATGATTCCAACTTTGGTGGTGACACTAGTTCATTTTGTTCGACCTGCTGACACTGCAGCTGTCCAGCAAAATCACCATGAGTAAGTGCACCAGATGAACCTTCATTGTTACCACAGTTAACATGTTTGGTGTCACAACTGACTAGTTCTGCTTCTGAAACATGTTGTTGGTCATCGCAAAACCGTGAAGGTGCCGAAGAAAGTTCAGAATTCTCTGAAATGGTTTTGTGAGATGAGCCTTTCTTGCTCCTCCGAGGCTTGACTCTAGGCTCACCCTTGCCATTTTGCTCTGAAATGCTTTGACTTGGAGATTTATCTGTGTTTCTTGGCTCTCTTCCTGCAACATGTAGCTCCGACGCAGAAACTGAATCAGTGGCAGGCTGAACTTCACAGCTTTCTGAATTGCCTCTCTGCATCTTAGGAGCATGCAGCTGCTGCTGCTGGGCTTCATTGGAAGGCATGCTTTCTGGCTTTATTGAACCAATGGGATGACCAAATGTTGAAGGAGGCATGTAGTTTTGCTTGACATTTTGAATAATACTAGAATAAGAGGACTGGTGACAACTGAGTGGAGTCCCTATGTTTTGGCCAGATTGATTCAGAAACATCATCATAGCCAATTCTGATCCAACGGCGGGCATATGCTGCAAGTTACCATATGGATTTCCAGGTGCCCTTTGAAATGGTGACATATTTACAGATGCAATATCTAGCCCAGGCACTGCAAGTAAAAAAAAAGGGTTAGTTTCCAACTTACGAAATGGTACAACAAATATTTTCAGACTCAGTCACTACCCCAGGTACTGCAAGTAATAAAGCATGGTTGAGAAGTACCTCCATAACCAGGCAGGCATTGTCGCTTCGAATTCAATGATGCGGAAGGGAACACTATAGTGTTCTCCGGAGTTTCAATGTCCCATATGCTCACACGCTCGGGTCTTTCTCCGTATCCATGTTCATCCCATTCAATCTGTTAATGCAATGTACATAAGGATGGCTACATGATGATAGGCAGGTAGGTTCATTCAAGTTTTTTGGAAGGAAAGCAAGGCACCTGCAAGTTGCGCCATTTGGAGTTGGGCCATCTCATCGGATCAGAGTCGCTAACTCCCACAATTGTACCAGTGTATCTGTCAAACAGATACATTTTTATTCAGATATGATGCAGAACAACTTCACCGAGCATACACATTGAAAGATGGTGCTAAACCTTCATAAGTGAATGGTATATTGCATTATACTACTACTCAATATTCTAGAGGTGGCTTGATATGGTCATTTTTCTCAAAGATGAAAGTGAGAAAGATTTGCAGAACAAGTAATTTAAACTTGAAAGCATGACAGTATATATTGCCTTCTAACATCAGTTGCAGTTTACTGGAGTAGAATACAGAGCATCAAATCAAAAGCAGAAAAAATATGCTATCTGCCTATGACAAAGTATTTAGTTCTAGTTAGTGGACAAACCTGCGCTTGCTTGACTCCTCTGTCTCAAACATCATAGCCATTCTCATGCCAACTGATTGCTGGATATAGTTGGCCTTATTATACCTCGCAACAGGAACTACAAACGGCGATGGGCTCGTTCTGAAGAGATTTCAAGAGCGTATATATGTTAAAATATGCCACCAGTAAACCATATGAACTGGCAGGCAAAATGGAGATGGAGAAAGATTTTGTACCTAGGATTGTAGTAAATGGTAAATGAACTACCACTTGATGCAGCATGAGCTGCAGCAGCCAGAACACCGATGTGCATGCTATCAGTGGACAGAACCGAAGATGACAATGCTGTTTGCTGATTGGTGGCACGCCTAACACCGACAAGTAGTTGTGACTTCTCATCCCTGAAACCAGTAACTTTTGTCAGGAATGGACGTTCGGTTCTCACAAATTCACCGAGTGGAAATCCTTTAGGTAATATAAGTTGTTCCCAGTCTGGTTGAGTAAAGGTTTGGTGTCTGCCACATAGCATCATAGCACTAATCAGGGTAGCTTAAATGTGTAAGTTCAGTACAGCTACGTCTGCATGAAAAAATTGAATTCAGCAAGTTGGAAATGTCTGTAAACAGATAGTAGAAAGACCAATAAGTAATCGATTAATATAGTACATTTGTTACATCTTAATAACATGCACATAATTTGAGATTGATTCTACACTTTAACCAACATTGTAGCCCCTAAATATGATGGCAGTTCAATGCAGGAACTGTCTCCATAATCCATATGGTTCATTCCATCCAATAATTAAGAGTTCACACCAATACCATAGTCTGAACCTTTTCAGATGCAGTAGTGCAAGATGCATTTGGTTAAGATCCCAAAAATATTCATACTAGTGTATCATACAAGTTGGGTCCATGCATATACCTGATAAATAAGACAGAATCCCCTGCTTTAAGCCGTTTTGCGCCGACAAAGAGGCTCCATCCAGTCGTTAGAAGATGTCGCTTCGGCTGCCCTGCAAGAAGCACCAAATGAAGAAACTTTTAGAAGACAGTGACCCAGGACACCCAAATTATATACCCTTGAATGAATGAACAAGTTAAAAGCAGGTCAAACAGCATTCGACCCTACCACGATAAATGTGACGAAACGTCCACATGTTATCATGCAAATCTCGCACGATAAGCTCCTGGTTCGGAGGTTGCATCGAGTAATCCTGCAAGTCCAAAGACATAACCTATGCATGAGCTGAAGCATTCACAATGAATAACCAAGTAGGTAAATGAAAATGTGGACAAGATGCTGATGTATACCAGCTGTGGGAACAGCTTCTCGGCGGCTCTTCGCGGCACCGAGAAACCGCCGTGCGTGCTCGTATCGCTCGCTGTCAAATTCTTGCAGAAATACTCGGCTGGATGCTTGCTCTTGGCATAGCTTCCGAGAGACGGGATCGGGAACACGTCGGTTTCCTGAAATTGACAGGATCTTCGAATCAGGTGTGACAGTTTTACACTTTCAGTGAACACTGTAGAGAAAATACAGTTCAGCATGTTCTGAATTTTTCACCAAGCTCCATTTCCGACAGTACTTACAGAGTTCACTGGTTGAAGAGTCATCTGCGCGTAGACCTCGTCAGTGTCCTTGTCGGCCTGTGCAAAATACAAGCATTCATCAGGCTGCATAGGCAGCTGAACCTGAAGATGAACCCTACACCTGACCTGAACCTGAAGATGAACAATATAAACTTACATGCATGGTGATGTTGCGGACTTGGCACAGCAGCTGCGACGGCAGGCTCGGGTAGTTCGGGATCCGAGAGTTGGGTGTCTTCTTGGTGGTGGCCGCGACCTGGCAGATCAAGAAAAACTTGAGCAATCCATGCATGAAGTCATCAGGTGATCTAAAACAGTTGAGAGCAGAGCAGGACTGTTGATGCAGTAGAAGGATTCAGACGGACCTGCTCGCTGTGGCCCTGGGGGAAGTAGTAGACGAGGCTCCCGCGCTGCGGCAGGCAGACGAGCGGGCCGGCGCAGGCGTGCCAGAGCTCCGAGTTGATCACCTTCTTGGCGCCCTGCGCCTCCCCCATGAGCTGCATTTCGTCGAGCAGCGCCGCCGCGTTCCTCAGCACGCCGAACGCCGGCAGCTGCTGCTGCTGCTTCTCCTGCGAGGCCGCCGCCATGTATCTCCCCCGACCAAATCCAAGCTAAAGAGTCGCTGCTGAATCGAGCTCGAGCTTGAGCTGGGTGCACCGACTGGCAAACGAGCAGCTTAATAGCCAGACTTCGCCATTGATCAATCAATCAATCACAGATTCTCGGAGATCAGAGTGCCTGCAGGTCGTCGCAAGAGAAGCAGAGGATGCCTGTCAGTTCAGTGTGTGTGAGCAAGCAAGCAAGCAAGCAGGCAGGCAGGAGTATGTATGCAAGAAGGCCCCAAAAAAATGCGTTCGGAATGGCGAGCTAGTAGCAGTAGCAGGAAGCTAGAGTGAGAGCTCGGGTTGGGTCCGCATGGCTGGCTGAAAACCCGCCCCTGCCTCACTTTCCCGAGAAAGAAGGGAAGGCGGCTTTTGTGTTTTCACGCGACGCGAGAGCCGAGAGCCGACAGGGGCTGGAGCTAGGCGCAGAGCAAAATGGCGCCGGGAATCTTGCTATACATACTAGTAGAGCTTAGGTGCTCGACGGAATGCCGTCTCCTGGGAAGCGAGCTCGCGGCGGCCTGGAGCATGGCGTGGCGTGGGGTGGGGTCGAACAAGGGGAACGCCCCACCCTTCCTATCCTATAGGATCACTGCTAGAACTAGTCCTTTAAGCAGGCGAGGCGAGGCGAGGCGTGGGGTGTGAGGCATTTCACAAGAGTGAGAAGACGACGAAACCCCATGCAGCAGGTGCGGTGAGCCCGTGTGGAGAACGCCGCAGACTTCCGACTCCATTTCCAAGAGCCGAAGCATAGGTCGCCGGCGGCATTGGAAGCTAGCACTAACCGGTGGAGAGTCGATAGGAGGTAATCGGAGAAATGGGGGGGGAGAAGGAGAGGTGGAGAACCTACCTTGTCCCGCAGAAGCAGAGCGCCAACAATGTCTCCGAGGAGGAAGGCACGGACGGGCCGGGCAAGTGCAAGTGCCGGAGCGAGCGTAATAAGAGGAGGGGCTGGGGCTGGGGGCGCTCTGCCTCTGATAAAGGCGAGGCGAGGCGATGCAAAGCAAAGCGGTGGAGTGGAGGGTGTGGTGCACTGGTGCTAGGCAGGCAGAGGCAGGCCCGGGAGCACGCGCGGAGGAGCCCTACCTCCCGGGCCGCGGACGCGGTGGTGGCGGTACGGTGTAGAGTGAGGTGTAGTAGGATGTAGGATGGGCCTGGGCGGGGCAGTAGTAGAGTGAGTAGAGGGCAATGATACATACTACTACATACGGTGTGCGCCTTTTGCTGCTTCTTCTCGCTCCCCTCCCTTGCCAACAATGGGAATGGGATAAAGATGCCGACCTTTCGAGGGCGGAAGCCATCAGGCATCAGCCATGATTCCTCATTCGCGCAGGCGCTCCGTGCCCCAACCCAACCCAAACCCCCAAAAAAAACTAAAAAAAAATAAAAACTCTCTCTCTCTCTCGCCCTTGCTTTGCTTTGCCTCTTTTTTACGGCTGGCTTGATCCCCACTGGCCACCGGGCAGCTGAGCAGAGGTGAGGGAGGCTGGCGTGGTGGTGCTACGCGCCTGTGGCTCGGCCTGCGACTACGTACCTATTGCCACCGAGGGAGGCGTGGAGCAGTGGCTCCATTACGCACTGCACGGCTTGCAGATGGATGGGAGGCCGAGCTAGCGGCACACGGAGAGAAACCAAACGGGGGTATTTCGTACGTACCTCACCGGACGACCCGTCGTCCGTCCGTCACACCACGTCTAGCCGCCGTCCGGCGCACGCGGTGATGCCGTCACTTGTCCGGCGTGTAGACTGGCCACCGGTCCACCGTGTCTGTGCGTGTGCGCGCGCGCCCTGCGGACCGCTGGGTTTGCGAGTGAGACTCTGGTTTCTGGATGGGATTGATGTGCCGATAGTACGTACATGGACCTCGGCGATACTGCTCCAGCGGCAAATCGTGGGTGCTACGCCTGTGGCGCGAGCGTGGTGCCGCTTCGACGTGACCCTTCGAGGGGGCGGTTCTACAGGCTCGTAATACGCTGAGACTACGTCACCTTCACAGCTGCTAGTAGAGGAGATCAAGCGGATGCTTAGTTGGTTCAAGAGGTAAATACACCACAAGTCACAAAACTTGCACGTGACGATCAATTTGGTGCATAAACTTGTAAAATACATGTTTCTGGTCATCTAACTTGTCTTTCCGTTCATATACGGTGCTTTCTACCGTATCATGTGCACGCTTGGCTTGCCAATGTGGCATGGGCCCATTGTCAGTGGCTGATGCAGTGGGTAATCCGCATGCATTGTTTTTTTTAAAAGTACCCTTGCATTTTATTTATTTATGCTGAAAATCCTTAAATAAAATGAAAAGTGCTAGAGCGGCAACAGGATTCAAACACATGACCTGCTATGATTCGCCTCGCTTAAATAGCCACTTGACCTCCTTACTGTTGACGTTTATAGAGCACAATTAGCGTTATATAAGATAAACCGTACGAGTTAAAGTAGAAACCAAACGAGAAAAGGGAATATAGTATTTTGGACAAATCATCTAATTTTTTGTTTGAATTCAAATAATTTAAAATTTGAAAATAACGATAAAAGGAAATATAGTGCCCAATGAATGTACGTATTTTTTGGGGACAAATCAACAAAAATTTGCTTGAATTTGAATAGTTTTAAATTTGAAAATCTAGATAAAATAAAATATGGGTCAGAATGAATGTACGCAATTTTTTTCGGACAAATCAACTAATTTTTATTTGAATTTTAATAATCTACATAAAATAAATATAGTTCATAATGAATGTACTTAAGTTTCTTTCAAACAGATCAACGGAAATTTTGTTCAAATTCAAATAATTTTAAATTGGAAAATATAGGTAAAAGAAAACATAGGTCAGAATGAATGCATGTATATTTTTTACGGAATAAATAAATAAATTTTATTTGAATTCAAATAATTTTAGATTAAAAAATCTAGACAAAAGAAAATATAGCGCAGAATGAATGTACGTAATTTTATTTCAAACAATTCATCTGAAAATTTGTTTGAATCTGAATAACTGTAAATTTGAAACTCTAGAGAAATGAAAATATATTCAGAATGTGCACTTCTATTTTGGAGGTGACATACCTTAGTAGTCGAAATGAAATACCAAGTACAATCAGCTGTGGTGGATAGGTTCCATTACAATAGGTCGTTGGTTAGAACTCGCCCGTCCCATTTTTTCCAGCCTAATATATTTACAATTTACACTGCCGTAGGACCCAGTGGACAACTATTGTTGGAGTGCTTTTGTACAAAGTAAAAAAATGAGCGTGTTTCTGGAAAAAAAACATCACGTGCACTAGCCACTGACAATGGGCCCAATATATTTACAACTTTACACCGATAGTGGGACCCGGCGACAACTATTGTTGGAGTGCTTTTGTACAAAGTGGAAAATTAAGGGTGTTTTTGAAAAAAAAACATCGGCCCTGGCCATGTTGGTGTGCCATGTAGGCAGCGAATATACCCACGTACGGATAATGTGACCGTATTTGCACGTCCGCATAAGTTAGATGACCAGAAACACGTATTTTGCAAGTTTGTGTATCAAACTGACCGTCACACGCAAGTTCTAAGACTTCTAGTGTATTTACCTCTTGGTTCAACGATGTGAAACTGTCATGGGTATGAGGGCTGCTAATAACACCCCACACAAGTTAGCTAAGGTACGGACATGAGAAGAGTTATGTAAGGTTAGGCTAATGGTGCCTCCAGATTTTGTGTTAGATGTGGTCTTTGATAAGATCCCAGACTGTTCTGAAATAAAGCGGTATGTGTTACCCTAAAAAAAGATACCGGGTGTATGGCATTGCGTGACAAGTGCCCAATCCCCATGACAGGGCACTGGAACAAACTTCCCCTGTCGGGGTTTTTTCTATGCACACAACCATATATTGGCAAATCTGTATTATTAAAGTCCAAGTATCAAGCACCAGAAGTACACAAATACTCCCTATATTTCATAATGTAAGGCATTTTTTTGACACTACATCATCGGTGGGCGTATGGAGGTCTGTCTCCGGCAGATCTGTATTATCCCCTTAGGACTCTTTTCCCCTTAACGATGTTGTATTACCGAGAGGGCCCAGAGATATCTCTTCGTCATACGGAGTGACAAATTTCAGTCTCGATCCATGCCAACCCAACAGACACCTTCAGAGATACCTGTAGAGCACCTTTATGATCACCCAGTTACGAAGTGACGTTTGATAGAAAAAAGTATTCCTCCGGTATCTGGGAGTGGCATGATCTCATGGTGTAAGAAACTGATACTTGACATCAAGAAATCCGTAGCAAGAACTAAGGTGATACGATCATATGCTAAGCTTACAGTTGGGTCTTGTCCATCACATCATTATCCTAATGATGTGATCCAATTATCAAATGACAACTCATGTCTATGGTTAGGAAACCATAACCATCTTTGATCAACGAGCTAGTCTAGTAGAGGCTTACTAGGGGTGTAGTTTATATATCCACACATGTATTTAAGTTTCCAGACAATACAATTCTAGCATGAATAATAAACATTTATTATGAACAAGAAATATGATAATAACCAAATTATTATTGCCTCTAAGGCATATATCCAATAGTTTCCACCACCAGACGAATGGGCTCGCAACGAACTCTGGATCGTAGTTGACAACCACAACATCCTTGGCCTTGGAAGGTCTCATCTTCGCCTCCTCTCTCGCCAGCCTCCATCATACCTCTTTGTCCAACTCCTCGACAAACATATCCTCCTCCTCGGTAGTGGACAGAGAAGAGACAGGTGGCTCCAGCGGAGAAAAATGAGGAGGCGGGGAGCAAAAGACGACAAGGAGGTGACGGTAGTGTAAGGTGGGGAGGCCAGTGGTGGTGGGGTAGTCTATGATGGGGAGGCCAGTGGTGGTGGGGGAAACCCTATTAGGAGAAGGAGAAGAAATCAAGAGCGATAGAGGAGTCATGGGGTCGATACCAAACATGAGAGGAGTATGGCGGTGGGGAGAAAAAGGAG